GCAATCGAATGGATTTTTTAACACGTTGCATCGGGGTTTTCTTGACCCCAACGGATTTTGTTTTAGCATTTTTTGGGGGTGCAAGAGAATGTGATCTAAGATGATCTTTTGAGTTGCGATCCGATTTCGAGGATTTTTGCGGTTGGAAAGCCTCAATCAACGAAAACAACTTGTTACGCTCGTTGTTCTCTGTATGTTTCTGAGCGAGGACAGCAGCGCGTGTTTTTTGGTCTAAACGCAGGAACATTTCCTTGCATCGTGAGGGGAAATGTCTTGAGAACTCCCAAAAAGAGAGTCTTCCTGAGCGGCGTGATTTCTCTCTTGCATCCGCTAAGGAATCACTTATGGCTTGGTCAACATCCTTAATAAATTCATCAAGAACGTTTTTGTCCCAATTTCTGATAATGAGCCGCATATATTCAGCGTTGCATTCCCGCTGCTCCGAGCTGCGCGAAGTGTGGATCACATCCGCTACAACGGGTATGATTTTGCTCGCCGTTGTTTGTTTAATCACTTGCTTTGTGCATATCGTTGCGCTCTCAGCGATTATCTGTATAGACGACACCACGCGTTTATTCAGCGCTGTGAATATTCCTCCTTCAAAAAAGAACGCAAATTCGTTCTTCATTAATCGGGACATGTGTGAAACTACATAGCATGCGTGCTTCACTATTGCTGACCGTTCTTCCCCAATCAAATCGGTTAATACTCCCCGAAGTCGTCGTAATTCGTTCCATAATCCCCCCATTTCTCCCCCTTCGTTTCCGTTTAGTAATCGATGTATTTCTATTAATGCTTCTTTTCGTGTCTCCCATTCTGTCGAGTGCATTTGTTCTTCCAGTTCTTTTATTTTGTTTTCCAGATCGTTGTTGTCTGGGATCTTTATTTATTATTTATTATTAATTTATTTATTAATTAATATATTTATTAAATTATTTATTAAATTATTTATTATTATATTTATTAATTTATTTTTAAATTTATTTATTAATTTATTTATTAATTTATTTATTATTTATTATTAAATTATTTATTAATTTATTTATTAATTTATTTATTAATTAATTTATTAATTTATTTATTAATTTATTTATTAATTTATTTATTAATTTATTTATTAATTTATTTATTAATTTATTTATTAATTTATTTATTAAATTATTTATTAATTTATTTATTTATTAATTTATTTATTTATTTATTAATTTATTAAAATTGGAATTTTGTGGTTGTTTTTTTTCTTTAAATCTTCAGTTTTTACAGTTTTTGCACCATATTTTGAACCAATAGTCGACCAATCAACACCTTCGAGTGGTTTTTTTTCACCTTCTTTTCGAGTTTTTTTTATGGCAGGTTTCTTTTTTCCTGTTTAATTTAATTTTAAATATTTCTTTTTCTTAATTTTTCTTCTTTTTTTTTTATTTTTCTTTTATTTTTTTTTTTGTGTTTTTTTTACCTTTTGTAATCATAATAAAAATAAAAATTTTTTTTTAAAAAATGAAAAAGAAAAAGAAAAGAAACTAAAAACAAATTTTGAAAAAGAAAAAAATGAAATTATTTTTTTGGATTTAAAAAAATTTTTTTTTCTTAAAATTTTAAGTTAAATTTTTCTTCATTTTTATTTTTATTTTTATTATGATTCTTTATTTAATTAGAAATACTTTCTTAATCAAAATTTATCAAAAAAAAATCTTTATGAAAAAATTTGGAAAAAGTCTTTTTTTTTTTTGAATTATTTTTCTTTGTTCTCAATTCCATTTTTTCTTTTACTTTTTCTTTTACTTTTTCTTTTACTTTTTTTCTTTTTCTTTTTCTTTTTTTCTTTTTCATTTACTTGATTTTCAATTTGATTTTGGATTTGGTTTTCAATTTGATTTTCAATTTCAATTTGATTTTGATTTTGATTTTCATTTTCATTTAAATCATTTTCATTTAAATCATTTTCATTTTCATCATTATCATTTAAATCATTATCATTTAAACCATTTTCATTTAAACCATTTTCATTTAAATCATTTTCATTTAAATCATTTTCATTTAAATCATTTTCATTTAAATCATTTTCATTTAAATCATTTTCATTTAAATCATTTTCATTTAAATCATTTTCATTTAAATCATTTTCATTTAAATCATTTTCATTTAAATCATTTTCATTATCATTTAATCTATTGTTTATTATGGTTCGCTTTGTCTTATTAATTTTCTTTTGATGTTTATTTTTGTGTTTGTGTTTGTGCTTATGCTTGTGTTTGTGATTGTGTTTATTTTCATTCTCATTCAATTCTTCATCATCCAAATTTTGATCTTGTCCAATTTTTTTCTTTAAATTTCTTTTGTGTTTGCTTTTGTGTGTATGCTTTACTTTATTTTTTGATTGATTATCATTAATATCATTATCAATTAAATCATTATCAATTAAATCATTATCATTATCATTATCATTATCATTATCATTATCATTATCATTATCATTATCATTATCATTATCATTATCATTATCATTATCATTATCAATTTCATTTTCATTTTCATTTTCATTTTCATTATCAATTTCATTATCATTATCATTATCATTATCATTATCATTATCATTATCATTATCATTATCATTATCATTTTCATTATCATTATCATTATCATTATCATTATCATTATCATTATCATTATCATTATCATTATCATTATCATTATCATTATCATTATCATTATCATTATCATTTTTATTTTCAATATCATTATCAATATCATTTTCATTATCATTATCATTATCAATTTCATTATCAATATCAATTTCATTTTCATTATCATTATCATTTAAATGTAGATAATTAATTTTTGGTTTTAATTTTAATTTTGATTTTGATTTTGATTTTGATTTTGATTTTGATTTTGATTTTGATTTTGATTGTAATTTTGATTTTGATTGTAATTTTGATTTTGATTTTGATTTTGATTTTATTTTGGATCTTGATTTTTTTGATTTTGACATGTTTTCTTTTTCATCTAAATTGATTTGTGAATTTTCTGTTGTATTATCTTTGTCTTTGTCTTTGTCACGGTTTTCTTCATTTTTCAGCTCTTTTGCGAATTTTTCTAATAGTTTGGATCGATTAATTCTATTTTTCTGTTTTTCCTTAATTATTATTTATTATTGTAATAATTTGGAATTCAAATTAAAAAATGAATAAAATATAAAAAATTCAGATTATTTCTATTAATATTTCTTACAGTATTTTGTTCTTTTTCTTTTTCATTTTGAATTTGAATTTTAATTTGATTTTCATTTTGATTTTCATTTTGATTTTGAATTTGATTTTGAATTTGATTTTCTTTTTTAGATTTCTTGGATTTATTTTTTTTCTTATTAAGAATTTGATCTCGTTTTCTTTCAATTTGAATTTCATTTTCATTTTGATTTTCATTTTGATTTTGATTTTGATTTTGATTTTGATTTTGATTTTGATTTTCATTTTTAGATTTCTTGGATTTATTTTTTTTCTTATTAAGAATTTGATCTCGTTTTCTTTCAATTTGAATTTCATTTTCATTTTGATTTTCATTTTGATTTTCATTTTGATTTTGATTTTGATTTTGATTTTCAATTTGATTTTCAATTTGATTTTCATTTTGATTTTCATTTTGATTTTGATTTTCATTTTCATTTTGATTTCTTTTTGACTTTCTTTTTGACTTTCTTTTTGACTTTCTTTTTGACTTTCTTTTTGGTTTTTGTTGAGATATATTAAAATTTAAAAGAGTATTTTTATCTGGAATATTAGTAATTAATTGATCCTCTTGATTTGCAATATTTTCTTTTTGATTAAAACCGATTTTAGAATGGTTGTGTTTTTTTTTAATATGTTTATGATGTTTTTGTTTTTGTTTTTGTTTTGGTTTTTCATTTTCATTTTGAATTTGAATTTGAATTTGTTTTTGTTTTGGTTTTTCATTTTCATTTTCACTTTCATTTTGAATTTGAATTTGAATTTGATTTTGATTTTGAATTTGATTTTGATTTTGATTTTGATTTTTATTTTGATTTTGATTTTCATTTTGATTTTGATTTTGATTTTCATTTTCATTTTGATTTTCATTTTCATTTTCAATTTGATTTTCATTTTCATTTTCAATTTGATTTTGAATTTGAATTTGATTTTGATTTTGATTTTGATTTTGATTTTGATTTTCATTTTCAATTTGAATTTGATTTTGATTTTGAATTTGAATTTTTTTTTGTTTTGGTTTTTCTTTTTCATTTTGATTTTCATTTTGATTTTGAATTTGTTTTTGTTTTGGTTTTTCATTTTCATTTTGATTTTCATTTTGATTTTCATTTTGATTTTGTTTTGGTTTTTGTTTTTCTGGATTTGATTCACTTGAACTATAAGTTGTACTATTTGTTTCACCTTTTTCTATTTCTTCAATTTCTTCAATTTTTTCAATTTCAATTCTTGGCTTATTTTTAAATTTTTTAGATCTTTTTGGAAAAAAACTATTTTTTTCAATGAATTTTTTTTTTGTTTTTTTTTGTTGAGGATAATAAATTGCTTTTGCAAGATCTACAGAAAAATCTTCATAATCTATATTTGGAGTAGATAATTTTTGTTTCATAAGAGTATTAAGTTCATCAATAAATTTTTCAAGTGAATGATTGCGATTTGTATTAAATAAAGATGAACCATCTTTTGGACATTTTCCAAATTTAAAACATTTTGAACAAATTGAATGACCTTTTAAACAATGATAAACTTCTGTTGTTTTAATAGGATTATTGCTAATAAAATTATATAAAATATGTTTTTGTTGTTGTTTAAAAGATTATTTTTGGTTATTTATTTTTTAAATTTTTACCAATTAGCACATTTTGGATAAAATATTTCCATTATCATTTAATAAAATTTGAAAAAAAAAAAATGAAAAAAATGAAAAAAGGAAAAAAGGAAAAAAAATAAAAATCCACTTTTTAATTAAAAAAAATAAAAAAATAAAAAAAATAATGGAGGTAGCGAGAATCGAACTCACATCTATTGAACCACAATCAATCATACTGACCATTATACTATACCTCCTCCATTTAAAATTATTAATTTTTTTTTCTTATTTTTTTTTTAATTTTATTATTATTTAAATAAATATTTTAAAAAAAATTTTAAATAAATATTTAATTTAAATTTATTTCTAAATTGAATATAATTTTATTAAATAAAATATAAATAAATAATAATAAAAAGTGGAATAAATATTTAATTTAAATTTATTTCTAAATTGGATATAATTTTATTAAATAAAATATAAATAAATAAATAATAAAAAGTGGAATAAATATTTAATTTATTTCCAAATTAAATATAATTTTATTAAATAAAATATAAATAAATATTAATAAAAAGTGGAATAAATATTAATTTAAATTTATTTCTAAATTAAATATAATTTTATTAAATAAAATTATAAATAAATATTAATAAAAAGTGGAATAAATATTAATTCAAATTTATTTCTAAATTAAATATAATTTTATTAAATAAAATATAAATAAATAATAATAAAAAGTGGAATAAATATTTATTTAAATTTATTTCCAAATTAAATATAATTTTATTAAATAAAATATAAAATAAATAAATAATAAAAAGTGGAATAAATATTTAATTAAATTTATTTCTAAATTGAATATAATTTTATTAAAATAAATAAATAATTAATAAAAAGTGGAATAAATATTTATTAAATTTATTTCTAAATTGAAATAATTTTATCAAAAAAAGTGGAATAAATATTTTATTTAAATTTATTTCTAAATTAAATATAATTTTATTAAATAAAATATAAATAAATAATAAAAAGTGGAATAAATATTTAAAATTTATTTCTAAATTAAAAATAATTTTATTAAATAAAAAAAAGTGGAATAAATATTTATTTAAATTTATTTCCAAATTGAAAATAATTTTATTAAATAAAATAAAATAAATAAATAATAAAAAAAGTGGAATAAATATTTAAATAAATATTTAAAAAGTGGAATAAATATTTAATTTAATTTATTTCTAAATTAAAATAAAATTTATTTCTAAATAAATATAATTTTATTAAATAAAATAAAAATAAATAATAATAAAAAGGAATAAATATTTAATTTAAATTTATTTCTAAATTAAATATAATTTTAAAAAAGTGGAATAAATATTTTATTTAAATTTATTTCTAAATTGAATATAATTTTAAAAAATAAAATAAAAATAAATAATAATAAAAAGTGGAATAAATATTTAAAAATTTAAAATTAAATATAAATAAATAAATATTTTAAAAATTTTAAAATAAATATTTAATTTAAATTTATTTCTAAATTAGATACAATAAAAAGTGGAATAAATATTTATTTTAAATTTATTTCCAAATTAAATATAATTTTATTAAATAAAATAAAAATAAATATTTAAAAGTGGAATAAATATTTAATTTAAATTTATTTCCAAATTGAAAATAATTTTTTATTAAATAAAAATAAAAATAAATATTAATAAAAAGTGGAATAAATATTTATTTAAATTTATTTCTAAATTGAATATAATTTTATTAAATAAAAAAGTGGAATAAATATTTATTTAAATTTATTTCTAAATTAGATATAAATTTTATTAAATAAAAAAGTGGAATAAATATTTAAAATTTATTTCCAAATTAAATAATTTTATTAAATAAAATATAAATAATTAAAAAGTGGAATAAATATTAATTTAAATTTATTTCTAAATTGGATATAATTTTATTAAATAAATATTTAAAAAAAAGTGGAATAAATATTTAATTAAATTTATTTCCAAATTGAAAATAATTTTTATTAAATAAAATATAAATAAATAATTAATAAAAAGTGGAATAATTTTATTAAATAAAATATAAATAAATATTAATAAAAAGTTAAATATTTAATTCAAATTTATTTCTAAATTGGATATAATTTTATTAAATAATAAAAAAGTGGAATAAATATTTTATTTTAAATTTATTTCCAAATTAAAAATAATTTTTATTAAATAAATTATAAATAAATAAATAATAAAAAAAAGTGGAATAAATATTTAATTCAAATTTATTTCTAAATTAAATATAATTTTATTATTTAAAATAAAATATAAAATAAATATTTAAAAAGTGGAATAAATATTTAATTTAAATTTATTTCTAAATTAAATATAATTTTATTAAATAAAATAAATAAATAATAAAAAGTGGAATAAATATTTTATTTAAATTTATTTCCAAATTAAATATAATTTTATTAAATAAAATATAAATAAATATTAATAAAAAGTGGAATAAATATTAATTCAAATTTATTTCCAAATTGAATATAATTTTATTAAATAAAATATAAATAAATAATAATAAAAAGTGGAATAAATATTTTATTTAAATTTATTTACAAATTAAATATAATTTTATTAAATAAAATATAAAATTAATTTAGAATTAATTAATTAATTAATTTATTGTTTGGTTTTTAATGAAAAGTAAAAAGTAAAAAGTAAAAAGTTAGAAATGTTGGAAAGTAAATTTGGAATTATTTTTCATCTTAAAGTTTAATTCCATATTTTTGAGAAAGTAATTTTTCTTGTTTTTTTCTTTCTTCATCAGAAAGAACATAATTCCAAATTAAGATCTCTGCAATATCTGCATCACTAACTTCATTATTAAATTTTCCTCCTCTGCAAATACCTAATTTATATGGTGATGTATTTCCTCCATTATCTCCTAATAATTTACCATTCAAATACCATTTAGGATTAGTATTTGAAAGTGTAGCTGTATTGATTGTAAATTCATTTCCTGATACTGTTTTTTTTCCAATCCATCCTTCCATAAAACATCCATCATTTCCTGACCATTTTCCTAAAAGCCAATTTACATCTCTACTTTGAAGTGTTCTTCCTTTTTTTGTTCCATAATATCTATCAACTATCATAATTGTAAATGGTTGTTGAATAACTAAATCATCTGGAAAAATCATTCCACAAGATGGTTTAAATCTCATTACTTTGAAACTTTTTCCATTATAATTCTCAACATTAAAAACTGTTGGTAATTCATAACTTGGATGCTTTCGAACATTGTTTCCAAATTTTGATTTATCTTTCCAAATTCCATCATTTGAAAATGTTAAATCATTTACTTCAAGTCTACAAATTAAATTTTCATAATTTGGAATATTCTAAAAAGAAATAAAAAGAAAAGTAAATTTTTGAAAATAAAATGAGAAAAAAGAAATAAAAGATAAATTTACTTCTTCTTGATTTTTTTCTTCAAAAATTCTTTCAAATTTTTTAGTTAAAAATCCTAATTGTTTAAGTTCTTTAAGTTGTTCATGTGCCATAAATCTAAAATCAATAATTTCATCAATTTGGAAGATTTGTTCTTGTGTTAATTTTGGTAAAGCTTCACTTGAATTTTGGTTTGATTTTAATCCATCATTTTGTGTTTGAAAGAAACTACATAAAATATCAAATTGATTTTTAATTGGAACTGAAGAAATGATTTGAAGAACAAAATTAAATGAAAGTTTTTGAGATAAATTATGAATTTTAAGAACTTCATCAATCGTTTTAATAATAAATTGAATTATTTTTCCACTTAAAGCTTCCAAATTATAAGATTGAGAAAAATGAAATAAATCAAGACAATTTTGAGAATCTAAAGAATTTACTAAATCATCTTCACAAGTTTCTCTTAATCCATTAATTAAGTATTTATCTGCACAAATAAAAATATCAAGTAAATTATCAGAATTAATTTTAACTTGATTACAATAAATGTATCTCATCATTTCTTGAAAAATTGAAGGTCGAATATCAGGAATTTCAATTTTACAATCTTTATCTTGAACTTCTTTCCAATTTGCACCAAAAAATAATTTTTGCCAATATTCACTTCTAAGAGATAAAATAAGTTTATGGCAATAAAACGTTTCTTTATCTTGATTTGAGCCAACTATAAATGTAACATCATAAAAAGAATTACTTTCAAATAAGTTTGAAATTGCTTTATCAAATGAGAATTTTTCTTCCATTATAAAAAAATGAAAAAAAATGAAAAAAATGAAAAAAATGATTTGGAACTTTTTTTTTGAATGAAAAGTAAAAAGTAAAAAGTGAAAAGTAAAAAGTAAAAAGTTAGAAATGTTGGAAAGTAAATTTGGAATTATTTTTCACCTTAAAGTTTAATTCCATATTTTTGAGAAAGTAATTTTTCTTGTTTTTCTCTTTCTTCATCAGAAAGAACATAATTCCAAATTAAGATCTCTGCAATATCTGCATCACTAACTTCATTATTAAATTTCCCTCCTCTGCAAATACCTAATCTATATGGTGATGTACTTCCTCCAGTAATTCCTAATAATTCTCCATTCAAATACCATTTAGGTTCGTTTTTTGAAAGTGTAGCTGTATTGATTGTAAAATCATTTCTTGATACTGGCTCATTTCCAATCCATCCTTCCATAAAACATCCATTTTTTCCTGACCATTTCCCTAAAAGCCAATTTAGATCTCTACTTTGAAGTGTTCTTCCTCGTTTTGCTCCATAATATCTATCAACTATCATAATTGTAAATGGTTTTTCAATAACTAATTTATCTGGAAAAATCATTCCACAAGATGATTTAAATCTCATTACTTTGAAACTTTTTCCATTATAATTCTCAACATTATAAACTTTTGGTAATTCATAACTTGGATGTTTTTGAGCATGAAATCCAAATCCAGATTCATCTTTCCATTCTCCATTTTCAATTCCACTTTCTCCACTAACTGATACAATAAGTGATTGAGTTTCCATATCTCTTTCTTTTTCATTTTGAAGTTGAATTCCATATTTTTGTGAAAGTAATTTTTCTTGTTTTTCTCTTTCTTCATCAGAAAGAACATAATTCCAAATTAAAATTTCTGCAATATCTGCATCACTAACTTCATTATTATATTTTCCTCCTCCACAAATACCTAATCTATATGGTGATGAAATTCCCCCATTATCTCCTGACAATTTACCATTAAAATACCATTTAGGT